TTATCTCTAAAAACTGTTTAGCGTATAACGCTAGTAATGGGGGCATATAATAAGTAAAAAGAAATCGCTAGTTAATATTACTAACAAGGCTCAAAATAGCCCCACACTAACACAGTAACATAATGAGGGTCCCTACATGCAAAACGAAGCATTGAGAACTTTGTAAGTGTACAGACCGTTTAATAAGAAGATATTTTATAAAGATAGTCCACTTCGTGTATACAGACAGGAGCCATCTTTGGAAAACAGTCTCGACTAGTCAAACCACGAACGCCATTCATACAGTTCAGCTCACTTAGCACGTCGTTCGTGGTTTGACTAGTCGAGACTGTTTTCCAAAGATGGCTCCTGTCTGTATACACGAAGTGGACTGTCTTTATCTTTATCTTCTTATTAAACGGTCTGTACACTTACAAAGTTCTCAATGCTTCGTTTTGCATGTAGGGACCCTCATTATGTTACTGTGTTCACGTGGGGCTATTTTGAGTCTTGTTAGTGGTATAAACTAGCGATTTCTTTTTACTTATTATATGCCCCCATTACTAGCATTATACGCCAAACAGTTTTTAGAGATAAAAGTCTTTACATTTGATTATCATGAAAACAAATCTCAGAGAACGGTTGACTAAGTACCAATGTTTTATTAGACCAAAGGTTCATTTTGCGCCGGAGTTCTCCTTTAAATAAGAGATGTGTTTTTGAACTCAACCTGAGCGCTCGTGTCCGCTGCTATCAGTGTCATGGATACATAGTGTCTCTTGTGGCGGCTTGCGCGCAGTCTTCACTCGGACGCGCTCTTCAATCAATCGCCGTTGCGGAGACTCTCTATTCATTCCGGTGAAATCACAAAATAAAATGCACACAAACTTAGAAAGATTTACTTACTAGTCCATCAACAAGATCGCCAGGTCAGCATCACCGTTGCATCCGGTGCTGCTTTTTAGCTTGCGCCAACGAGTGAAAGTCCGACGAGTGGGACTCTTGTCCGGTTCCTCACGCTGTCAGATTCTCTTGTCCTTTTCCTAGTCTCTTCCGACCGCGTTTTCTTTGCTTTTTCCATCGTCGAGTATCACATCTTCGTGCGTCATATGTTGTTGTTGATGTGTGTGACGTCGTTGCCGTAAAGTATGTCGTGATTCTCGCGAGATTTGTCGGGGGCGCTCCTCTCAAACTTGCATTGCTGGTTTTTCCAGCGGCGTCCCCCTCCCCAAGCTTTACTACCAGGATGATTCGCCCTACTATGAGTTTGTTTACCACCGAAATGACTTTGAAGCTGTTATATTAAGGTACAATTATTGCATAGTGTGCCTTTAATCAAAGATGTTCTCAACATGGACATTCATTGTTTCTCTGTGTGTGGTGGTGCTTTGGTCAGATTTCTCCAAGGTGCTGAAATCCCTGACGGCAGACAGCACACGGGATGAGTTGCTTGCCTTTATTCAGCAGTACGGCAGTCATTACATCTCTGAGGCGCTGTATGGTTCTGAACTCACCTGCAACATCTACTTCCCCAGCAAGAAGTCCCAGCAACAGCTCTGGCTCCAGTACCAGAAAGGTAAGAGAAGGGAAAGATGGGCATCCTCACAGACAAATAAAACTAAATAAATAAACCATTTCATTTCGTAGGGTGTGTGCAATTACACTCCTGGGTAGGGTTGCAGCAGCCATTTGCAAGTTCTTACTTAACCTAGAATGGAAAGTCCACACTAGGGCTTAGTAACTACTATGATTTGTAACTATCACTGTACTTAATTCAGTTGCACCATTTGTATTTACTACAGAACGCAGATCATTTCATAAGCTCGCTGTTAAGTAATCTCTTTTAAAATGTAAATGATTGTAAATGTCAGCATTATCATATATGTCTAAAGGGTTGAATTATGTCGTGTTAAACAAGAGCTTATTGATGCAATTCAGTCAGTCTGCTATTTTATTACAACTGTTACTCCTATTCGGAGGCTTCCCTAAATATTTAGGTTAGAGTTGCGTTTAATGGTGCAATTAAAAAATATTTAGTAGTGCATAAGTTGTAACTTAGTGCTTAAACTTGGCTTATGCAACCGGCCCCTGCTGTGTTGACCGTCAGATATTACACTAGTGGATTCTGGACATGTGCAAAAATAGTTCATGTTCATTCAGCATATCTGACCTCTGAGTCAACACCCACCTCTGAGACAGCAAATACACATTCAGACAGCCTACAGGTCGATACAGAGGCAATAAACCAAGGCTAGCCAACACTATTGGTACACAGTACTGACGATTGCTTGGTTAAAAATAGTACGTCTCCTTGCTTTACCCCGATTTGCTTATATAATAATTACTTCAATGGATAGGCTAACTCAAAAAGGCACCTGACAAATAACCCATCTAGTGGCTAAAAAACAAAACTGCACGCATTTTGCAGAAGAACATTGTTTTGGTTGTGCTTCGGTCTGCGTGAATTTTGCAGATGAATATTACCCTTCACAATTAATGCTTTACAATGAACTTGGTTAGAGATCTAAATGTGGCAATTCATTTGTTCAATAAAAAAAACCCCGTACATGTCGAGTAATAAAAACGTCATCTCTGCGTCGCTTTTACAACATTTCAAATCCATCAGTTCTCACAATCTCTAGAAAAGCCAAGGCGATGTTGATTCTTGTTTTATTACAAGCTCTGTCGCGGTCTCTTTTACCAGCACTCTCCTCTATTCGGATTTAGTTAAAAACAGGTGATTTAGTGGATCCATGTCAAAGTTGATTGCTTGTTGTGAAACTAACCTCTGCCTCTCCCACACCAGAAACACGGCAAAGCAAAATAACTCTTCTTTATTTACGGATACGACGAGACACGTAAATAAACCATCCCACCTGGTCTAAAATATAAACACTTACCATGATTACCATAGTGAATCATGGTAAGACAAAAACGTTTTGGAAGAAGGGTTGATGATTTATGGCTCATTTTTTAGATTTAGCTAATTTTGCACAGCAACGACAAAACAAAGTTACATATAGTGTACCTTTTAAAAAAACTTTTTCAGACAATAGTTTCAACGTCGGACCGGCTTTTCAGAGATCATGACAACTCAAGAGACTACATAGGATTTAAAACCAACCCCCAAAAAAATAGAAATTTTGGACTTTTCAATGAGTCAAACCAACAGTGGTCAGTCCCTCCAGAAAAACGTGATTATGCGATCGCATGATTTAGTGCATAATCAGCCAAAGTCCGCATTTTTTCAAATACGCCGCACTTTCGCTGCACTCATTTTCGTTGCAAAAGTCACATATATCTTAGCAGAAAGTTGAAAAATGTTGCATTTGCTTCACACAAAAGCAGCCATTTCCCCATTGCCATGGGAACGTTATGAAGTGACATAATTACGTGACATGAACATCATCGAAAATCTGTAAAACAGGAGCACACTTTAATTTTTTTAAATATTTTATTTATTAATTTTTACAGAAGTTGTAGCATATTCCTTTTGTAAAGCTACAGAACTTGTTTGACTCATCAATGTATTGTAAGTTTGATGTGTTTATTAAGGTCCGAAATAAAACAAGATGAGAACTTAAATATTCCAGCACTTTCTGTAATGTAATTAAGCTTACTTATCATAGGAAGTAATAAGAAATTACTCTTTACATTAAGGTAGTAGCCTAGTGAGAACAGGGTGTTGGGGGAATCACTTTTTCATCAAACCGCAATTTTTGCAAGTTCCCGCAATTTCATCGCATAAAATTGCATAAATATCCCGCATATTACATCGCATTTTTTAAGAAAACGGGCCGCATAATCAAGGGGTTTTGCCCGCAACAATCACAAAAAAACTCTGCGTTTTTCTGGAAGGACTGTACAGTCAACTACGCGAGACATTATTAAAGGGATACTCCACTTTTTTGGAAATAGGCTCATTTTACAACTCCCCCAGAGTTAAACTGTTGAGTTTTACCGTTTTTGAATCCATTCAGCCGATCTCCGGTTCTGGCGGTACCACTTTTAGCATAGCTTAGCATACATCATTGAAGTGGACAAGACCATTAGCATTTCTAAAAAAAAAATGACCAAAGAGTTTCGATATTTTTCCTATTTAAAACTTGACTCTTCTGTAGTTACATCGTGCACTAAGACCGACGTAAAATGTAAAGTTGAGATTTTCTAGGCTGATATGGCTAGGAACTATACTCTCATTCCTGCGTAATAATCAAGAAACTTTACTGCCGTACCATGAGAGCAGCAGGCGTAATGATATGATGCAGCGCCTGAAAATAGTTCCGTTGTGTTGACGGAAGGTGGCCTATTTTCAGGCGCTGTGTCATATCATTACGCATATTGGTACCGCCAGAACCGGAGATCGGCTGAATGGATTCAAAAACGGTAAAACTCAACAGTTTAACTCTGGGGGAGTTGTAAAATGAGCCTATTTCCAAAAAAAAAGTGGAGTTTTCCTCTAACGGATATCTTTTTATTTATTTTTTGCTATGTCTTTGCTTTTGCTCAGCCACTAGAGGCCAAATCCTCCGTACTGTAGCTTTAATAGTTTTCAGATGCATCTTTTGAACACTTCGTCTGTGATTAGTTGTGCAGTGAGTCTTTGAGTGTGCAACGCCTTAAATCTAGTGGTATGAACTAGTGGGTTTTCAAGCAGGGACACCATTCCTGTGAAATCTTCATGTCTGCTTACCCAAACCTACTGTTTTGATGATACACATAAAAGCTTCCACCGTTTGTGAGCAGTTTTTCTCTTCATTAGCATCCGATGCTTTGCTGTCAGATGTACAGATCATCTTCAGATGGTGTAATTATGGACATGTGACAGCTGGAACATTTTAAATAACTTCAGAAATATTGTTTATTAACCTATTTTCCCAACACTGTATTCCACAGAATTGTTTAAAATGCATTAATTTGCTTTTAAACATGATTAAAAGTGTCCAACAGTTGACCTGGTAATGGCTTATTTTTCAGTATAATGAAGGCTACAATAGAAAAAAAAGGGAGAAAAAACAGACAATCTCACATGTTTCTTTTATTGCACACAATTGGTCATGAACATTACAAACACAAATTCGGGACTCATTTCACTGACACCAACATCAATGCTTGAACATGATTATGTTTGGATGAATTATGAAAGCAATACGTCCATTCAGAATCAGAATCTCCTGCCATAAACTCTAACAAATGCGTAACAGTTTGAGAAAATACTCATTGTGTAGGCCTTACTATAACTGATATTACCTTAATCATGATGGGTAATGGTAAATACCCAGAAAAGGGCAACTTTGCAGGCGATTTACATATGACTATACCTGCCATATGTCACTTGTTCATGATTTGTTGCACATTATGCTTTGACAACCAACAAAAAAACACTCACTCATGATGGTCTTCTATTGTACAGAATGACAAAAACAAAAATGTATTGCATTGTGGATTTAGGTTTGTGCGTAAGTAAAAATAAGTAACAAAATCCCTGGGACCCATTCTCCATATATTGCTTTATACGTCTAAGATAGCGATGCTTAACAGATCTTTTAATAGTGATAATTGCCATTTAGATCATTTTTTTACTGTGCAAATTTGATTACGTATCTTGTTAATTGTTAAATATTGCGTACTCCAGTTTACTGGAAAAGCTCCATGTATTAATACTTGATACTAATTAGAAATAAATCAATTGGTCAATGACTAGAGTAAGGAAATGGCAATAAATACTATTAAAAATGATTACTAATTGACATTTTATTTCATATATGACATATTATATTAAGTGAGAGCCATTAAAAGGATGAGCACAATTCCTAACACAAGACGATATTTTAGAAGGCCATAGAAGAACATCTGGATTTTATAAGAGCAAGAAAGCAGCCAAAACAAGAACATACTGCAGAAAGAGGTGCATACAAGGTGTTTGTTACATTATTTCCATTTCCATTGTGTCTTTACTCTTGCGTTTCAACAGAATTTGTGATTTATTATTGTTTTAGGATTAAAGCTAGATGAATTTAACAGTTTAATTCTACCTGAATCGCAGTTGCATGAAGGCAAAAATAAAAGTGGTCTTTAAAAAAAACAGTATTCTACTTGAACATGGCAGGCAATTCAATGAAAACCATGTTTCATTTCTAAAGGGTCACATACACTTTTCTAATGACACGGCAGACAGTGCATTTTATGTCTGGATCACCTGTGCATTTATTATAAGGCCAATGCAGGCTTTCTGCGTTTGTTGGTAATGCACGTTTATTAAAACTTAAGCGTTACAGTTAATAAGGCCAGAAACACTTTACGCAAATGCATGGCCAACACACTGTGGTCCGGTTCAATATACTTGCGTTGTTTGGCAATAAGCAACCTCAAGAAGGTGATATTAGTTACCTTTAAATGTCTGTGCCATTTAACTGGATATGCTATGACTTTAACTTAGCAAACTGTTTATGACAGTAGTTGACCTACAGTAAAAAGAAAATGGACATAAAACCAGACGTTAGCATTAATGTCTAAACAGCATAGAGAATGCAACACATACTTGCATTGTGTTATGAATTGTGATAATGGGTTTCCATTCCATTCTAATCTATTTGTGATTGTTTCATGTAGCCTTAAAGGGATAGTTCACCCAAAAATGAAAATTCTGTCAGTAATCACTCTCCCTCATGTTGTTCCCCGTAAGACTTTCGTTCATCTTCGGAACACAAATTAAGATATTTTTGATTAAATCTGAGAGCTGGATCACTCCTCCATAGGCTTCTTAAGGGATCGAAACTGGCCGGCCCAAAAGTTATGAAAGACATCGTTAAAATAGTCCGAGTGACTCCAGTGGCTCAAATCTTAAGTTTATCAAGCGACGAGAATATTTTTTATGCGCAAAAAACAAACAAAAATAACGACTTTATTCAACTATTCATTTCCTTCTCTGTACGGCAGTGATTTTTACTACGCAAAGCTTCTAGGTTGTACGTCACGCATCACACACATGACCAGCGTCGGCCAATAGTGAGCCTACGTGTGACGTGCAACCTAGAAGCTTTGCGCAATATCACTACGTGAAATCTCACGGCCCACAGAGAAGGAAATGAATAGTTGAATAAAGTCGTTATTTTTGTTTGTTTTTTTGCGCACAAAAAGTATTCTCATCATTAAGGTTGAGCCACTGTAGTCACTCGGACTATTTTAACGATGTCTTTCATAACTTCTGGGCCGGCCAGTATCGATCCCTTAAGAAGCCTATGGAGGAGTGATCCAGCTCTCAGATTTCATCAAAAATATCTTAATTTGTGTTCCGAAGATGAACGAAAGTCTTACGGGGAACAACATGAGGGCGAGTAATTACTGACTGAATTTTCCTTTTTGGGTGAACTAGCCCTTTAATCTGCTCCAGCACATGTTTGAACCAACAGACCTGAATGAAAACTAAATGTTACTAATAGCATAACCAAGATTTTAAGACAACAAGCTCAGTGCTGTCTAAAGCTTTCAAGAAGGACAGTTTTAAGATCCACCCTTTCAGATACAAGGACACTTTAATGCAAATTATCATTTCAAATATGGTGTAAAATGCTGAGTCATTTCCCTACTTCAGTTGAATATAGCAGTTACTCTCATGATAGGCTTGTATATATCTCCTGAATTTGACAGGCCTTTGGGTCCTGCAACATAGCAATGCTTGTACAAACTGGGTTACACTACAGACCAGTTCACAATAAATTAATAACTATAATATACAACCTTTGTAGTAACAATAACTTAACATTTTTTTCAAGCGTACTGTTCTTTAGTTTTAGAAAATTCATACCGTCACAGAAATCAGAAAGTCCTTCAGTTATAAGGGGGCACTTTAATAGAGAGAGCATTATGGGAACTCATTACAACGATTACACACGAACATGACACTCACAGCAGCATTTTGAGTCAGTACGTTTTGAGTCACGTTTTCCAAATCAAATGAAGCACCTTCCCATTAGTAATATTCTGGGTACAGTTACAGTACAAGTTAAGATCAATCATAGCACTTGTGGCATAATGTTGATTCCCTCAAAAATGGTGCACTATATATATATATATATGTTTCAGTGAGGCATTTGCAATGAAGGTGGATGTAGATGGATGACAAAAAAAATGTTCATCTACAATTAAAAAATAAACGCAGAGAACTTTACAACTGAAATAATCTACAAATTAAATAGTATTATTATTATTATTAATGTTATTATAATTAAATAGTGTAATTTAATCCATAAAATTAGTGTTCTGTGAGTGGATTTATAAATTCTTAAGTTTCACACTTCTGCTTTTAAAACCTCCAAACATGACTCCATTTACATAGTAATAGAAACCATAACCTTTATTTTTTAAAGAAAATAAGGACTTTTTCTATGATTATCAACATTATGCCACACTCATTGATTGAGTCTAACTTCTAATGAACCTGGAATATTCCTATAATATCACTTGTTATTACTTTGTCATTAACTCACCATCTTAATGCCTGTACAGCAGCACACACACAGAAAACCAAACATATAAGAACTGAAATGCACACATAAAGAACAACATTTTCAGTTATTGCCATCAGTTGTGCTATATTTCAAAATCCATTTGCCTAAAGCATCCATAATAATACCCATAAGCCATAATCCAATTGCTCCATGGCAGTGGTGAATGGTTGCGGCTGCTTGATCCCAGCCACTGCAAGTCACAGGTCAGAAAGCAAACGCATTTGTAAAAAGCCATTGAATTAAAGTGACTAATCTTATAAAGTGTCCACAGCAGTCTTAACACGTAGAGGAACGTCTCCTTTGCAAGTACGTGTAAACCTTCACACAGTGGTCCCAGCAATCCAAGACGAGGAGTTGTCCCTTCTGGGTAACAGCTACACCTACAGGGCACGTAAGGCCCTCCTGAATGAGAACGTTATAACCACCTTCTTTAGGGAACTGCAGTATCTCCTTACGCCCGCTATCCGTCACGATCAAGTCCCCGTTGGAGTCCACACACATCCCGGTGATGCAACGGAAGTCCTCATTCTCTGAGAAGAAGTGGCTGAGTTGCTTTCCCAGCTGCCCATCCATTCCCACCGAGCCGATGGAAAACCCCCCTTCGAGGTGGTGTTCATTGTGTCTATTCTCAATGTTTAGACCCAAGCCCTGCGTAAAGTAGACTGTACCTGAGGAGTCGCAAGTTACAAATTTGGGTCTGACGGCCGAGCATAATCGGTTATAGTTCACTACCCCTACATTGCGATCCACAGCCAGGCACCACAGCTTCCCGCCCTCGACATCGGACACGACAAACTGCCCTGAAGGCATAGCCGCGATTCCCCATGGCTTAATGAGTTGGTTCTTGTGGCAGGCGACGCAGTGGCCATCGGTGGTGTAAACCTTCACAGAGTTGTCATAATTGTCAGTGACACCGATGAGTCCCTGAGCATTGATTGCAATTGAGAGAGGGATGAGGTTGGGAAGGTCAGCACCGAGGAAGCTCAAGACGAAGTTGTCGATGCTGCTCGGGTTGCGCCGTATCTCCCTTTGGAAGCCCTTGCGATTGAAGATCTGGATGCGGTAATTCCCTCGGTCGGCCACGAGAACCTCACCCTGCGGTGTAACACAAATGCTTACCGGCAAGTTGAACATGCCTGGCAGATTGCCCTTACATCCCATCTTTTTCACAAACTGACAAAGCTGCCCACCAGAAGCCCCTGGAGATGGTCCTCCTTCATCTACAGACTTGGACTTGAAGCTACCGGGCGAAGCGCAAACAGCATCTTCAACTGTTGTTACCATGTCAATATCACGATACATGTCCAAAGGGCCGGAAGCGGCGAAATCGAGTCCATCTTCCTCTTCGGCATTGACAGTGCAGGGTTTTGTGGTCAGTTGCCCCACGTCTAAGGGTTTCGCAAACTCCATTTTAACCATTTCAGGCTCTTGTAGTTTCAGAACGACAGCAGGATTGGTTTTTATGTCCAACTCCTCTTCTTCATTGTTACTTCCTTCCTCCAGTAGAGCAATATCAGTCTGCTTGATCCTCATGGTTAGGTAGTCACACCTTGACACCACCTGCACTTCAGCGATATTGAGCAGGTATGTCTGCTCTTCCAGAATCTGGGCATTCAGCTTCTCTATTTCGGCTAAGGACGTGGCAAAGGCACGACGGGAGCGGCCAAGTTCCTCTTGGATCCGCAACTCAGCCTTGGCATACTCTTGCTGTACAGCCTTGTACTTCAGTCGGAGTGATTTTGTCACGTTGTCGATAGCTGCCTTCTTCTTCTGAATATTGCCCATTGCCTCCCGCAAGTTAGAAAGCTTCCCGGTGATGTCTTTCCGGCACTGTTCGGCAGCCACGCGAATGACCTGTACGACATGGCCCTGACGCTGATGCCCCTCGCTTTTACA